ACATCTTGTTTTTGGGAATAAAGAGGTCCAAAAAAGTATATGGACATTTTTGTTGTTCTAATAAATGTGTGAATGTCATTGCATCAGATAAAAACATAAAACCACAATGCAGGATCCTCTCTTCACTAACTTCACTTTTTTCAATATGTTTTCTCAGTGTCTTTTAATCAACTCTTGTTTTGTTCATTTTTAGTGAATTTATGAAGTCAGTTATCCTCAGGTTCACTCAGGTTATTATTTCAAAACTGGACAAACTTATTTTTGTGAGATGTTCTGCTTCTAAAGTGTTTTTCTTTCAAACAAGCAACACTTAGTTTGCAATCTAACGCAGTGAAATTTTTAGGGTCACAGTATCGTGGATGGAGAGATTGTCATTTTTTCTCTTCTGTAATAGAGAAGGGCTGCATTAATGTCCATTCCTCCATTCCCCTACGAGCATGTGAAACAGGACACTGGCCCATGAGTACTCTGCTTTTCTGGGTCAGGAAGACAGGAGCCTAGGCGAGAGTAGTCATTTGTATATGTGTGTCTGTGGACACACTTGTGCAACTCCACACAGTGAATTTTGAGCCCTTTGAGACCATAGTATGCATCTCCAGCTCGGACCACACACACACACACACCTCAGTGACCTCCAACCAATGTTTGCTGAGTAAGCAAAAACCTTCACTGCGGTAATGAGAATCCACTTCCAAAACCGCATCCCCTCTTCCACACTAAAAAAAGAAAAGGGGGGGGCATGATTTATCCTCTCATGACCTTCTGTGTAAAAACGCCCCTCTTAAGCAGCTGATATAAATGTATGAGAAGAGAAATAAAAACAGACTTGAAACAACGTGGATAAAATATTTAACAGACCTCCTCTTCTCTCACCCCATCCGAAATGAATGTGCAGATACAGGCTACACTTTTTGTTCTGCCTCCCTGCACATCAGTGTCTAATTTTGACCTTCAAACGCACTCTCCTTTCAAGTGCCCTTCTGACAATATGGCAGTGAATCACACAGCTGATGCTTTCAAAACAGGAGTGCACTGATATAAAGTACCACTCTTCTGTACGTTTTTAATGAAATGTAGAGGAGATAAATACACCAAGCACTATGTCACTATGCACCAAAAAGCAATTAAGAACAGATGAATCCCTCCAAACTAATAAGATTTCAAAGAAAATGTTCAACAGCTCCTGCAGCTTTAAGATGATTCATCAGATTATGTTTTCCTTTTTGTTCTTCAAAACTTAATTACAGGAAATCTTTTATATATATATGCAAAAAGACTGGAGTAATGATGCTGATGAAAATTCAGCTTTGCATCACAGGAATAAATACTATTTTAAAGTATATTAAAATAGAAAACCATTATTTTAAATTGCAGTAATATTTCACAATATTACTGTTTTTTTTCTGTATTTTTGGTCAAATAAATGCAGCCTTGATGAACAGAAGAGACTTCTTTAAAACACATAAAAAATCTTACTGATCACAAACGTTTTAACAGTAGTGTATATATAGATATAGATATCAGAAGAAAAGTTATATATACATTAATCAATTAGCTTTGCATTATTTTCAAATGAATATCGTTTCACTTGCAAATACATCATATTACAGAAATCAAGTCAATGAAAAAGAAAAACAAACTGTTTACAGTAATGCACTAACAGTGAAAGTCAAGGCAAAGCACTGTATGGGAGTACATTTTAAAACAGACCAAAATAGACCAAATTCAAAAGTGACATTATGCAGCTTTTAACTACTGTCAACATGCAAGAAAACAACATTAAAAATATTTGAGCAGCACAAATATCTATCTCCATAAATTTACACTGTAAGTGCATTACTGGAATCACGACTGTTGCTCTTACAACCTGAGGAATGAGATGTTATAGATGCTGTCAATATAGCTTAACTTGCATTGAACACAGAACGATTCCATTAAAACACATTAAAAGATTTGAGATGCCTTGGTTAAAATTCACAATCTAAATGAAAAATTCCTCTTTTTTTGGTTTAGACTAATAGAGTGAAAAGAAGACGGCCATCTCTCCACATGAGCTAAGTAATAGCGGCTTATGTAACCCACACAATTCTAAATATACTGATGCAGGACTGGCCGTGGAGGAGTGGAGTGAATATCATGATAAAATCCAGAACAACAAATACATGAACAGAGGTCAGGGGGCTCTTGCATCGCTCGGTTTTATAATGAGATGCTAATAGGGCAAGAATGTGTTGTAAGGAGACAGCAGAGAAGGAATTTGTTAGAGATGCATGGAATAGAGGACAGAGAATGAACTATAGCAGTTCAACACTTAATTGAAGTGAACAAGAGATAAAAAGGATTTCTGGTCCTTGAAAAAGAGCATTCGATAACTAGATTTCTATGCAAAAAGTAACAGCATACCCCTTTCCCAAGAAGCCAAGTCTAAGCTTAAATGGAAACAAAACATATTTAACTAACAAATTAAATAAAACATTACACTGAGATTCTGGTTGTTTCAGTATCACTGGCAGCTATGATGCCCAAAAAATGTGGTCTACCTAGGCAGTGCACTATATGTTGAAAGATAGCCACTATAACCAGAGACTTCCATATCTACTTTTAAAGAGATCACACAGTGGTCAATAGGGTTGGGTATCGTTTGAATTTTATCGATTCCGATTCTGCTTATCGATTCAGATTCTTTTCGATTCCAATGTGATTAAATAATGATATCAAACATTTATGCTGTCTCTCTTTTTTGCAAACCATTTATTGGAGCTAAATACCATGAACAAAAATCAACAGGCTACATAAAAACTGGACTCTTTAAGAGCTGTTTGTGTGCAAAATAGAACTGCATGATTCTGAATAAATTTAGTATTTTTTTTTCGTTTTTTTCCCCCAATGGAAGTTGTGGTTCTCTCATTATTCTGAAGAAAAAACATTAGACAACTAAACAAAATCACATGTAATTTATGAATTAATGATTAAATGACTCACTCAAGATGTACTTGTTTCATTACTGGATGAATCAGCGTTCTTGAACGAATCTCTTGTGATTCAAAGACAAATACATTTTAACAGCCCCTTTTCACCACCTACTGGCGTAACAATGTAATCGATAATCTTCATTTGAAGCATCAAATTACTTTCAAAAGGTGATTTATTCTATTTTAATCGCTACCATACACATCGTACACACCGTTTATATCTGAACTATAAACTTTTATCCCAGTACTTCTGTGATTTGAATGTTTGTAACAGAAATAATGATACTGTGTGGCTGAAAAGACAGACATGTTCATTCATGTTCATTCAAGACAGACAGCTGCTCTCTTTAGGTCAGCGGCAGCGCGAACGCATATTTAAAATGTTAAAATCACACTGATGTGATCGTATGCTGCACGGATGAACCAAGTGATCACAACATTGATCGCACACATCAAAGGTTGAGGAATGAAACAGACGAATCATTGTAATTTAGGAATAGAATCACGTTGGTGTTTGAATTGTGTTCGCGATCTTTAACGATCTATTAAATTAAAGTGCTTTGTATGTTGGTGGACACACCTCTCTTGCAACATGTTTAGCTATCACAGATATTATACTTCGCTTTTTTGGCTTCTGATCGCAAATGTAGCCAAACTTTGGAGCGCTTAGATTAGCGAGCAAGGTCCTGGCAGATCGTTAGGTCCAGTCCTCACAGATGAAGAAAAAAAAAAAAAAAGCTCATAGGAATCGATAGGCGGAATCGAAATTTTAATTTGACAACAAGTATCCGATTCCTGACCTTAAGTATTCGATTCTGGAATCGGAATCGATTTTCGATTCCCAACCCTAGTGGTCAATGCCATTTCATTGTCTGCAACCAATAACCTTGAGACAACAAGTGAAAGATGGAGGTGACTGACCATCACACAATCAACTCGTGGAGCCAAAGAAATAAAAAAAGAAAAGAATACAGCCGACAGGCACTGGGAGGCTTATTTTAGCAAGCGGCCAGCAATGGAAACCATTACCATTACCATTTACCATTAAAGATGCAGGAACAAACAAAACCTGACTGGACCAGGTCAGCTATGGGCTGTTCTTCCCCTATACTCTCTGAACAGTCATGCTTTCAAAGACAGCTGAAGGCCCATGAGAGATACATAAAGCAATCAATTTTTGACCTTGTAGTCAGTATATCGACAATCTTGTCATCTCCAACTGGAGCTCTGCATTGATTTGCTCCATAAACCGTGCTGAAAAATTAAACTGTCAATCAAAAGGAAAAAAAAATAAAGCCACAATGAGCAAAACATAAAAAGGGCCATGACAGCTGCATTCATATGATGATATGCAACATATCTTGTAGATTACTGGTGCAGGCATTTTAAAATGGTCATTTATTGAAAAACAGATATCTTTCAGCCCCTGAGATGGCTCCATGTGGCAGCTGAATTTCTGAAATGTGACTGGACAGTTCAGTGTGATGCCTGTGTGTCTGTAGACAGGGGAGAAAAGGCCAGTGCGGCCCATCTGCTGTGTGTGAGTGCATCGTGTGACAGAGAAACATGCTGAGGGAGAGATGGAAAGAATACTGGCACATGTTTCATCCGGTTGAAGTTTTAGGTCAGACATGGCTTTATCAATTAAATTTTAAGTGCAACTACATGAACGCACATCTAACCACATAAACTCGATTCCATTCATGGTCATGTTTTGAAATGTGTTGGACCACAATTCATAGAACACTGCAAATTGTGCGCTTGTAAACAGTTCCTGGATTTGGTGTTGGAGAATTTTGAAATTGCAGCCTGCTAAGTGACAAACTAATGAATTAAAGCAGTTAGTCCACCCCCAAAGTAAAACCAGCATCTAAAAATAAAAAACAAGTCAAATCAAATCTTTTTAAAAAGTAGTTTGCTGTGCTACAAGCTAACAAGTGACTGACCACATTGAAAGGTTTTTCAAAATGCTGTCAAGTACTGCAACAATTTGGACTTTGTTTCTCCCCGACACGGTTTTATTTTTACCTGAATTTCCATGCCCTGCTCCAGTAACCGTTTGGCTTGGTTCTCCACCTCCAGACGAGCTCGACTGATGAACAGCAGGTCATTTTCTATGACGTCAATACCTGACAGATCAACACCTTGGGACAGGTAATCTGCAAGAAATGGAGCAAAACATTTTTTGTTGATTTTTGAGCTTTTTAAAGCTTTGTTGTTGTTAAAAACTTCCATATATATTTAAATCCATGGACAAGTCATTTACAAGACCATTTTTTCACATAAACATGGGCAGTCATATGTTTATGTGATAGATAACGTGTCATATGGAGGACGAGCGTGTTTGCACACCCCTAAGAACCCATTTGAGCCGTTAGCATGCAAACCGTCTTCTTCACAATTGTCTGCACTAAGCAGGAGGTCTGGAAGCCACCCGACCAATCATCGCAGCAGACTGTGGAAATTATGCTTGATTTAGGTTTTCAGTGTGAAACACATCAAAAACTGTTGGAAGAGATGAGAAAGGCTTCACTTGAACAATGCTAATGTTGGCAGCTTCCTACTTGGGGCTGACTAAACTCATCGCAAAGAGCAAAGCATTTATTTAGACGCCAGCATGCCCTGGAATGAAAACATTGATAAGTAGGGCAGCAGCTCCTAGGATGGTGTGGGATACAGGTGGAGGAGGCTGAATGTCCCAGTTACACCTGAAAATATTCCACACAGGAGACCAGCTGTTATTCACAAAGGTGTGCTCATTCAAGTAAAGTCAAGTCACCTTTATTTATATAGCGCTTTTAACAATACAGATTGTGTCAAAGCAACTGAACAGCATTAATTAGGAAAATAGTGTGTCAATAATGCAAAATGACAATAGTAAACACTAATTTTTCAGTTAAAGGCAGTTCATCATTGAATTCAGTGATGTCATCATCAGTTCAGTTTAAATAGTATCTTTGCAATCAAATCAACGATATCGCTGGAAATGAAGTGTACCCAACTAAGAAAGCCAGAGGCGACAGCGGCAAGGAACCAAAACTCCATCGGTGACAAAATGGAGAAAAAACCTTGGGAGAAACAAGGCACAGTCGGGGGGCCAGTTCTCCTCTTGCCAGATGAAACCAGCAGTTCAATTCCAGGCTGCAGCAAAGTCACATTGTGCAGAGGACTCA